CATCTCAACCAATTCAAACTTCGGATCATGCCAAACAGGTCACATCCAATAAGCTACAGTCGCAGGAAATAAGTGTTGGCTTGTGTTCACCTAAGTTTTCTCGTCTGATGTCAGGAATAGCATTTTGTAATGTAACGTTCAAAGTCATTGCGTTTTTTTCCAGCATAGCGCTTCAGTCCAGCGTTGGCGTTTCTCCACGAAAACGAGCTTGCCATGAACCAGTCGCGTGTTTCGTGCTTTGGTTTGTTTACATCGATGACCTTCCTCTCTGTTCCAACACAAACACCTACATTGTCGTAAAACCGCTCTGAACACGTTGAAAGCCAGACTAGAACTTCAGGTCAAAGTTGATTTTCTTTTGCTCAGAGCTTCAGAACACTGAAGTATAAAGTAATTATCACTCAATTGCTTTCCTGCTGACGCATTCCTTGCAAAAATTTGCGTTAATGATACATTTTAAGCGGTTCCTTTTGGCAGTGTTGACGACCGCTTTGCTATCTGCTGAGCCGGAACTGCCAGGTACGCACGCGAACCAGCACTACCGGTGGCCAAGTGTAACGGAAATCCATCAGAGATTGATACAGCAGGTGGTCAGTCCTTATCACGTAACTCGTAACCGCGCCACCAGCAGGTGGCCGGTCTTTATCACGTAGCTCGTAACCGCGCCACCAGCAGGTGGCCAGTCTTTATCACGTAACTCGTAACCGCGCCACCAGCAGGTGGCCTTTGGGATGAAAGCGAACCATCGGGACCCCCGGAGAACACCGGAAGTGTGAATCCAGCAAACGGCAAGATGAACGACATGGTGAACGATCATAGCTCGCCCTCGGCCTGTCAGTACGTGGGCAGTAAGTATAGATTACGCTTACACTTTGGTTAAGCATTGCTTCAAAGGTACCGAAACCCTTGTATGACACAGTATGTGTGTACCTACAGGCGTACAAATATATATATATATATATATATATATATATATATATATATATATATTCATGTAATTAGGCAGCGTGCTTCCATTAAAGCAAGTTTTGTTATATGCAAGGGCAAATATACATTCAATCGGTTTCTTACACGCTTGCTCGTTTGCATTCAACCTTCGTGCTTTCGGTAAGTTAGAAATCAGTTCGTCTATGTTCATTAATATTAGTTGAAACTAACTAGCGTTTCAAGGACATTCGTTCCCCATTTTCAAAGCAACGTAGGGCGGTCGGACGGAAAACATTGGAATATGGCAAAATACGAGACATGCTCTATAATACACAATTATCGGTGAGGCATCAGATAACTGGCTCTACATCCGAATATATGGTCAACTTACAAAACATATAAATGGACATAATTTTTCCAAGCCAGTTTGACACCATTGAAAACTAAAGGCCTGCTGTCATTGGTCGCTGCTATCATAACCATCCTGCTGTCATTGGTTGACTGAAAAGGTCCAACCTAATGCATGACTTACCTGGTTTGTTTTAGTCAGGCGTTATTTCTATAATCAGGATGGCTTCAAAAACTCGTAAGCAGCGTGTGTTTGGACTTTTTTTTAGAATCTGGATGGCTTCAGTCAAGTCAGAGCATAGAAGTTTTTGGTTGTGGGTTTCGTGCATATGTTGGTCTGGTGCTCCCTCCTGAAGGTGTATAGTCATGCGTCGTGACAGGGATGTTGTGGTCATACCAGTATAGGTAGAGCTGCTCTACCAGTATAGGTAGAGCTGCGGAGCCGGCAGTCTCCGTGCCGCCATTTAAATCCATACACTATATTGGTGCGCTTTAGTTGGCTTTGAGCTCCTGTCCGGTTGTTTTTCATGGCAAGGTTACTGGTTGCCCTGCTCTTGCAGTAGACAGTCGGTCTTAGTTCAATACCATCCTCAGTCCGTGCGATATTTGTCCCGATGATGTTTCGCAAGACTTTTTCGTCCACCTTACATGGCACGGACATTTGATTTCGGTAAAAAGTTGATTGCCTGGCTTCTTGGCGGGCTATTTCTGGTTTCGTCGATTTAACGTGGAATCAATCTCTTCGTCAATTGTGCTGTTCGAATAATCGCCATTTACGAGAAATTGCTTGCACTGTTCGAGTTCGCGGCGCGCGCCAAGCCCACTGGGACAGTATTTTGGAGCACGTCGTATAGACGAACGGATGACGGCCGTGCGGTAACACTCAGGGCATTCACCAACCGCGTTCCCACATTGACCAGCATCAGGAGGTTTACGGAGGCCTCTCTTGACAAAATATTCGCCGCTCGCATCCGCATCGATGTCGAGAAATGTCAAATGGTCGTCAACACTCAGGTCAGTTGTAAATCGTGATAACGATTGCCGCTGCGCAGTGGTCTGCAGTTCGTGAAGGTGGACCTCGTCTCTGAAATAGAAAAACATGTCATCGACATATCTGCGATATATATGTGGTCTAAGGACAAAGTCCTATAGGACATGGGTCTCCAGCCAGCACATGTGTATACTTGCCACCAAGCGTTCGGGCGGCGACCCTAATGCGTCGACATCTCCTCGGCGGCAAAATTTTCCGTTTGGGCGGCGGAAGGTTGCCTCTGTGGTACAGCATCGGAGGATAAGAGCATCGGAGCTCCGGATTTTTCGAGGATGAATCGTGACAGTTTCAATGGCGGCAAGGTTGGGTGACTGTAGACTCAGCCCAGTATAATTTGGATTGTTTCATTGACAGGCACGTTTGTAAGCAGACTTTGCACGCGTTATGAAGGAAGCCACTGCCGGTGTGAGTGTGTGTAAACCATGTCATTTACAGTTTTTGCTAGGTGATAAGTAGGCGTGGGAATTTCAGATATCATTGCTCTCAGGGGTTGTCCGTTTTATGTGTGTTACGTTACCGTAGGCATAAAAAATAGGGCTATATTCACCTGTGATCTTCGTGAAGTGCTGCTCGCCCATTACGGCGTTTGCCGCGGTGAGTAAGTTGTTGACCTTCGTCGAGAGAGAGAGAGAGAGAGAGAGAGAGAGAGGAGAGAGAGAGGAGAGAGAGAGAGAGAGAGAGAGAGAGAGAGAGAGAGAGAGAGAGGAGAGAGAGAGAGAGAGAGGATACAGAGAGAGAGAGGGATATATAATATATTATATATATATATAATATATGATATAAAGGGCCTTGTGGGGGTGTGTGTAATGTGTGGTGTGTGTGTGTGTGTGGTGTGTGTTTGTTTGAATGTGTGTGGTGTGTTGTGGTGTGTGTGTGTGTGTGTGTGTTGTGTGTGTGTGTGTGTTGTGTGTGTGTGTGTGTTGTGTGGTGTGTGTGTGTGTGTGTGTTGTGTGGTGTGTGTGGTGTGAGGTGTGTGTGTGTGGTGTGTGGTGTGTGTTGTGTGTGTTGTGTTTTGTGGTGTGTGTGTGCGTTTGCGCGCGCGCACCTAGCGTTTGTCAAAGGGCAACCGTAACAGCTTCGAGGTCGGGATCGCAATTAACGTTTGGAACTAGGGAGTCCGAAAGAGATTCAAAACTCCACACATGGGGTTAATCCCCTTCTGTTGATGGCACTTGTCTGCACTACTGTTCGTTTAACCTGATCTGTATCGACGTGGTTTGTTTCATGATCACGATGCAGATGTTTCTCTTTTATTCTGTTCGTAGAGTTCCCGATCCCGTTTCATTCGCACGGGATGCTATGAGCAGCCGACCATGAGTTCTCAGCGACCCAAGTCGGCCAGAAGAGCAAGCGACATTCGCCGCTGATCTATTGAGAAATCCTAGGATATTTAGGAGACAAAGTACTCTGATTCTCTGCAGAAAATCTGGCTCCCGATTACAACGGCGTCATCCAGGCAACCACAGGGACGTTCACAGCAGACCTTGGACTGTTCTACGCCGTCACGTCGGTGATGCTGATTCTTCAGGACGAGCTCGGTAAGGTGCATCGGATTGTAAGGAATTAGATGTACTTCGAGCGGCCGATGGTCCACGGTTTCTACTGGCGCTCAAACTTTTACTTTTGCTTAAACTTTATCATCGGATACGCTATGTGAGTTGCATCGATGTTGTCAGTTGTTCTCAGTTGTGCACAAGTCAATTCCCGCAAATAAAGTTGATAATAAGAAATTAATCATGCCGTCACTATCATGTTATCATTATATATCACTCTGTGGGTTCCCTGGGGGCGATGAACATATCTTGTTATTGTTAGGAGAGGCGCTCAGATTTAAGCGTTCCGCTTATGCACGAATCCACTCTTCATATTATTTACTGCGTAATGCCCATCATCGAAAATAAACATAAAATCAAATCAATCTTATCCAATATAAGGCAGCAGCATCAGCCTTATTCCTCCACGAAAAACCAGGAGATTGGAGATATAGCTCGGTTGATATTTCGGCAACATGCCTTTATCGAAACAATAGCAGAAATGCTATTGTTTCAATAAAGGCAACAATGGCACAACAGCACTCTAACACTTCTGCTATTGTTTCGACAAAGGCAACAATAGCACAACAGCACTCCAACACTTCTGCTACTGTTTCGATAAAAACATGCTGCCGAAATATCAACCAAACGACGTCTCCATGCTCCGGGTTTTTCTCCGAGGAATAAGGCTAATTCTACTGTCTTATGTATGTGAATAATGCTCCTCACTGATGTACTGAACAACTTACGTAGTTACCTAAGATACTGTAAGCTATCATGCCACAACATGCCAAGGATCCTGGTCGGTTATAACCACTCCGACCGGAAGCAGGCGGAATGTTCAGACGTAGTCGCGATGGAGACAGAAGCATGATTTCTTTGATCCCATCTCAAGTCTGCCCCCTGCCCCCCCCCCCCCCCCAAAGCAGTCCAAACCCGTAGAGACGCAGATTAGCTTCCATCCACTTCACCGGCCGCTGTCTGTCGAACAGGCCTGTGAGCCAGTGCCTCACAAACCTGCCCTCCGACTCAGGTGAAGACATTGAGGTGACCGTATCATCCACTCGCGAACCTGGGCCACCGGGTACGGAGCAGCGGTGCACAGTGGTACCCAGCAGGTATCAGTACCCGGTAAGAACAAGTGGCTTCAGGTCACGCTCTGTCGCGCTCTCAGTACTTTTTCATGTTTGTTATTTGCTGCTTGCTCGATAAGAACTGCCAATCCCTTGTCGTCACGTGACATGTTTGGGAAGAGTCGTGTTTCCTCCGAGTCCTTGGCTGGCTCCCTCGTTGAGGAGTGGCACGGCTATTTACACTGAGATAGGAAAAAGGCTCGAATTCGCACGTCATGTAATCGAACCTGCACGTACTAACCTGCACGTACTAACGTGCACGTGCTAACCTGCACATACCAGCCTAAACGTACCAACCTGGACGTACTAACCTGCACGTACTAACCTGCACGTGCCATTGCCACACACAGGCATCTGCTCGGCCACAAACAGATGCTGGACAATGGAAATACCGTCGTTTTTGCAATGTTTTATACAAATAACGCGTCGCAGCACTATGGCCAACACTGATGCCTTTTTTGGAACCACCGTCATAGATGGCGATTCGTTCGAGAAAACCACTTTCCTCCCATTCTTCCCGTGCTAAAGCTAATGCATCGCAGAATAGTCATGACGAAAAGAACGAACACATTCCAAAAATACATATCCCATACGGAGGAAAAAAAACATGTCACAACTTTCTACATTTTCAAACCAAAAGTAACCGGAAAATGAGCGCACCACTGTTAAGAGGAGGACATATTGCGGGAGTTTCTACAGCAACTAAGCCTGTGCGCCGCCGTGGCCAGCCCTACCAGACGGTGTCAGCAGCTTACACCGCCCGTCATGACTAATCCTGTGCGCCGACGTGACCAGTCCTACCAGACGGTGTCAGCAGCTTACACCGCCCGTCATGACTAAGCCTGTGCGCCGCCGTGACCAGTCCTACCAGACGGTGTCAGCAGCTTACACCGCCCGTCATGACTAAGCCTGTGCGCCGACGTGATCAGTCCTACCAAACGGTGTCAGCAGCCTACACCGCCCGTCATGACTAAGCCTGTGCGCCGACGTGATCAGTCCTACCAGACGGTGTCAGCAGCTTACACCGCCCGTCATGACTAAGCCTGTGCGCCGACGTGACCAGTCCTACCAGACGGTGTCAGCAGCTTACACCGCCCGTCATGACTAAGCCTGTGCGCCGACGTGACCAGTCCTACCAGACGGTGTCAGCAGCTTATACCGCCCACCCTGTCGCAGGACGTCGCCCGCCAGTACAGCTGCGAGGCTGCACGAGTGGGCCGGTTCGTGCGCGTGCGGCGCGCCATCACCCCGCTCACCCTGGCCGGTCTGAAGGTGATGGGGTCGTGGGCGACCCACGCTGCAGTGCTGAGCCCTGAGCTCTAAGGAACTCTGAACTCACTCTGAGCTCAAAGGCACTGACAGTCCTTTGGATGTCACGGGCTCGCCAACATCAGCACTGCGCCTGGGCTTGTCCTTGGATACCACGGGCCAGCAGACATCAGCACTGCGCCTGGGCCTGCCCTTGGATACCACGGGCTCGCCAACATCAGCACTGCGCCTGGGCCTATCCTTGGATACCACGGGCCAGCAGACATCAGCACTGCGCCTGGGCCTGCCCTTGGATACCACGGGCTCGCCAACATCAGCACTGCGCCTGGGCCTGTCCTTGGATACCACGGGCCAGTAGACATCAGCACTGCGCCTGGGCCTGCCCTTGGATACCACGGGCTCGCCAACATCAGCACAGCGTCTGGGCCTGATCCTTGAATCGCTTATCGGTCTGCTCGCGGGCCCCCATCCGTCCTCTCACCCTTTCTGCAAGGTCCTGCACCATTCCCCCCCCCCCCTCCGACCGGAGTTTAACGTAGGTAGACACTGACAGAGTGGAGGGATCTTCGCGCCACCTGCCAACTGGTCACCTGCGGAATTGGCTACTGGTTTTAAGCTTTGCATCCGAGATTTGGAGGACTCGACGCGAACTTGTAACCAGGGGCAACCAGCTGGCCATGTGCACTGGCTGAGCTCCGTCTACAGTGCGGCGGTAGCTTCCTGTTGAGCAACGCCTTTTGGGTTGGGTTTAGGTTTTGTTGGTTACGGCATCACATAGCTTTTCATTCCGTCCTAAATCCAGCACTCTAAAATAAGTGTAACACACAACGTAACTCTTGCTTGGCCACTGTTCCGAGCCTTGCCTGGTGACCACAAACCGCGCATAGCAGCCGGTACTCCCCAATTCGCCGCCCCCCCCCCCCCCCCGCCCTCCGCTGCACCGTCTCCATGCCATGGTCCTGGTAGCTCCTGGCTTGCGCTCCGCTAGGTGTTAACTGGCATGCCCTGAAAATGGTGAATACCTGTGATCGAGCTCGCCGCACTGGCTTAGCGTGAGAGCTGGGGTGGGCAGGTATTTTGGGGTCTATTCTTTTCATGGAACGTGAAAGGCGAGACGCCAGGTTTAAAACTAGAAAGGACGCCCCCCGCCCCGCCATCGCGCCGTCGTCCCTGACTGCATATCAAAGTGTTTGGTTTCCCTGCGCGCGATATTGACATGACGTTCATTTCACTAAGCATGGGTCTCCGGGCCTCGGATCTGTTTGTCTGTCCGAAATGTGCTACTAGGTTAGATTTACGTTACAATTACATAGCTAGTGTCATTTCGCGGCTGTTTTTACGCTTGAGCGCGACGCCATTTTTATGCGCATCACTAGTAAGCCGTCAGTTCGTGTTAGGCCGGTGGCGAATGGTGCGTCTTCTGAAATAAACGCTGCTTCTGATCGTGTCGGCCGCTTCTAAGGAAGGACTTCCGTAGTGAAGAAACGCATTTGCCCAAGTAGACGGAATGGAAAATGTGTGAGGCATAAACAGCTCAGCATGAAGTTAAGGTATAACGTTCCACCTTCGCTTGGGCTTGTAACTGCGATTGCCGCACGGAAATTTTCCTTAAGATCTCTACGACTAATATGGCTATGCCTATCACGACTGGCAGGTACATTTATGTTCAATATGCCCCTAAGCGTTCTTTTCCTGAGTTGCAAGACTATTTTCAATCCGAGGAGTCATTCTGGCGAGCCTCGTCTGCACCACTAGTGTTCCACATGTGAAGATGCTGCAGCAAGCATCAGATATGATGAAATTAGCTTACTTATAACTATTGACATACTTTTAAGTAGAAAAGACTGTCCTACACAACACAGTTTCTCTTTTAATTAAATAAAATCCTCAGTATGTCATTGTTTCACTGCGTCATTGCACTTCGCACGACATTAATTCAGAGCCAATTTCGGACGCTATATTTGGAAATCGGGTGCAGGAGCGCCGGATATGAGCGTCCCGACAATCATATCTTTCTTGGCCTTGATCACCACATACCCGGTCAAATGGCAAAATGTTAGTGACGTTATTACTGCGTCATGAATGCCTGGGTGATCTTGAGATCGTCTGCACGAAAAAGTATGCGCATCTTCGTGGGAGCTCAGAGCAGAGCTCAGAGCTCAGAAACAAGGGGGGGGGGGTCTCATGAGGGGCAGGGCTGTAAACTACACCGAACGATCTCCGAGATGGTTATTAAAAGCCATCTTGAAGATCGCTCGTTGCAGTTTACAGCTGAAAGACTTCAGTTCAAAACCAAATAAAATCTGCACCCTCCAAAGGGACTCCTGCATCAGGCTATCAGCTGATATAGTCATTTTCAAGATCCTTTTCCTGCAGTCCGCAATTATTCGCTTTTCAAGACTTTAAATCCTTTTGTCATCTGAGTTAGGTGCGCACGAACTTGTGCAGACTATTTCATCCAACCCGAACAGAAGTCGCTCAGACATGCATAACATAGTCACGCCGTCACACGAAGCTTGTATCCTTACTGGTCATATTGTTTTCAGGATCAATAAAAAATATGCATGTAGGTTTATTCGTGCTCTGAGTAGGAAAGCACGAATTTTCGCAACCACAGACATCAATCGGCTATGACCAGTCTGATGCGTGGCATGTGAATTTTGAGTACGATTTATGGATTTATCTATGCTGGCTGATGCGCTTCCAAAAGGCTATGGGCAATTCCGCATCTTGTGTGTCGATTCGAGCGACTCGAGATGATATCTAGTCAGCAAATTATAATGGAATTCATTTTGTTTCAACAAAATGAAAATGGTCGAAAAGTTTTCGAAGGCGTTAGTGCGCGAAGAAAGGAGCCAATAAGACCAAGAAGACCGGGGTGTTCACCACCGAGCATAGCAGGTTAGACGAAATATAGACCTCTTTGACTGACGCATTTTAATGGAAGTCTACGGTCATGCTATTGTGGACATCTGATTAAAAATGTGAAGTGAGAGAACAGTTACAAAGTCTACCAGTCTACCAAAGCGCAGTTGAACGTCATGTGAGAAAATGAATCTATGGGTGAGGTAAGTATACCCTATGCCCAATCTGGTCGACACCTTTCCCCTTCCCCATGTTTCATGCTTGAATATGTCCATGCTTGAATTTAAGATTTACAGGCTCTCGGGTGGTGGTAACTTTAACCGCCACAACGTTTTTCCCAGAATATTTCCCGAACGGCGCGGCTACCCATAGCTGTTGGCATTATACGTACCTTGTGAGGTCACTGACCTATGGCAGGTCAAAATCGGGGCATGGCTATGTTAGCGGAGACGATTCCTAGGGGAATCGTTGAATCTGATGCGACAACGGAGTGTTAGACGAAGCCATACATCTCTGGTAGACTTTCTAAGGTAACTACGCAGATATACATATCATTGCAGCTAAGTCCATTGACCTGGGGTCAGGTATGAAGGTCAGGTCGAGGTTAAAACCAACCTATTTTTTCACTCGAGAGCTTGCTGTGTGGGATAGTTTCTGGTGCTCTTTTTAAATATTTTGATGACAGGAACCGCACCGGGCACCTTCCATCGATTTCCTTAAATTCAAAATAGGTCAATGACCTGAAATTGCTTAGGTCAACATTTTGTTCTACGGATCACATCGCCTAGCGTAATCTCTGACGCTTTTTCAAATGCAAAAATCAAAGCAGTCTTGCATAGTTTTGGTCACCATAACCTTCTTAAGGTCAAACAAGGTCACTAACCCTATATAAGCAGCACTGGCATTTTGCCAAGAGTAGACATCCAGTTTCACGGCGGTTGCATGGTAAGATCTGGGGGGACTATGAACACCAATCTGGCGTTTGACATTGCATGACTTTATTTGACCTAAAGGTCGTGATCTAGGATTCTCATATGTTGACAAAAGTGAGTTAACACACAGGCCAACCCAACCTGTGAATTTGGTGTCTCTAGCCGTCTTAACATTTGAGTTGTCATGGGGTCGAATTGACCTCCACCCGAGCGAATGGTATTTGATTAATTAATTTATTTTTTCAATGTTTGTGAAAGGACGCCGCAAAGCGAATTTAAAGGATCCAAGATTCGGAGGCAGGTCCGCAGCAGGCTCTAGCCAGATCAAACCTGGCCTGGCCGCAGCAGGTCCCAGCCAGACCAAACTCCCTGGAGTTAGACCAGAGAACGAACCAAAAGGTGGGCATGGGTAAACACGGTCCGTTTTTGCCCCGCTACAGCCAGCTTTACTAACACTGTTTTGGACGGCTTTTTAGCAGCTCAAGCAAACTGGGCACCTGGAGGGAGGGGCGGGGGGGGGGAGGTTTTGCGGAATAGAGGGGAGATACGAAGACGGGGAGCACGTTAAAAAGGAAGAAGAAGTACTTAAAAATGTCTTGTTTTACGAGTGCTGCATGGCGAGTGCTGGATGCGCGCATCGCATGCAAACGACAGGCCAAAACAACAAACAGGCCAAATGATGACGTATTCGAGAGTTACAAAGCAGTCACTTTTAGAGCTACTGTGTGTACAACGCGCATTCCGACATTCCATGTCGTAATGCGCGTTGTCTACTATCTGATTCACTGACAGTAGGCATGCACCCAGTTTGCACAATGTATGGTGATTCATAGGTTGGGATGACTCTTCCCGTTATCTCGTTTCCTCTGAAACCCTTCGTACCAAAGTCGGCGAGCGAAAAAAGTTTCTAGGAGTCCCGCGCCGAGCCCAAAATTTGCATTTTTCTTGAAGAATGTAGCTATTATCGGAAAAGATTGTCTCGAAATGCGTCAACACTTACGTCTCGGTATGCAAATGCCGCCATTATGCGCATGAGTTGTTCAGCCCTCATTTCATTTAAACTTCATAGGTGTTCCCTGGCTAATTGACCTTCTAGGTTAGTTGAAGTGTCAGCTTCACACATGTTCCAAAATGACGCCTTTGTGAGTGCGTAGATGAAAAACAATTGTGAAGGAGGCCACAATGCAATTAAGAATTATCTCCTGAGATAAACCTGTAAACCAAATTGCGACGAAATTTGAAGCTGGCGGTGCCTGA